AATCATGACAGTAGGATAAAAGTTAAAATTGTCTTCACTTTTTGGAGCTGAGCTGTTCAGCACCATCCACACTGTAGATTCAAGTGAACCTGGTTAATGTGACTGCATGTATGTCTTCACTTTGTCCTATGAATTTAAACTGATAGTTACATTATATTCCATAAATACATAAATGGATAATAGTAGGTTAGAACTGTTTTGAGAACATAAAAATAATTCTTGAAGTTTACTACATTTCTGACTCCTTTTGGAATCTGTCTTGAGTTACATCTAAATTGTGATCTGTTCAAGTTCCTTATGCTCTAACTTCCAAGTGTGTCTTTGGCTCTGTCTTAATTCCATCTCATTTAAGAAGATTTGAGTGTGCAAGGTGGGAGAAAACATTCAGTTTACACTGATCCCTGTAGTTCTGTATAATTGTGTGGTCAAAATCAAAGCTGGTCAAGAAATAATCTTTGCGAGTGCCTCAGCATGCCCTTTGCTGTCCCTGGGATGAAAGAAATTTCATGCCACAGGACTAGTATGTATCTGAATGTTGTTTCCGTAGTCAGAAAGTATACTCCAAGAACAATAGCTAAAAATATATCTTATTTCCATTATATCATTAAAAAAATGCTATGCCTGTATTAAACAATGGCAATATATTAGATAGATGTATGATGGATATTAAAGCTGTGTTTTACATTATATCCAACCCAGTTACGCAGGTAAGGAACAAAAGAAATTCAGAATTATAATGCTAATGTTGTTCTAACTACTTTCCAAATATATGGAAACAAACACATTATTTTTCTGATTGCCTTCAGTCTAAACGGGCAAAGCAAGTAAGGTTGGAAATATGGATCTAAGAGAGATGGAGAGCAATGTGGTATGACCAGTTGTATTGATGGGAGGCATCAAGTCAATGGTTACTGTCTACAGGTAAAGCTCAGTCACTTTTTCTTTTTTTCCTACTTTTCAAAGCTGAGTCATTGAGTAGACAAAGGTGAGGGCACCCCTAGATGAGCAGTTAGAGTAGCAGCATTGACAAGAGCTCACATCTGATAGGAATTTAAGGGAGGGAGATTAAGCAGTTATAGGCAGTAGCATTTCTGTCTTGGTTCTTTTGCAGACTGAATTATAAGTGGAGAATAATAAAACAATTGAAAAATTAAAATACATCCCCAAATTATAAAAATACGTCATATCTTTTTTTTCCCCTGGGTAATCTAGTGCATATTTATATAAAAAGGTGCATAAAAGAAAAATGATGAAAAGAGTCTAACAATGTTACTTAAAAAAAATAGCATTCAGTTCCTGATTGTGTCACTGAAGCATGTTTTATTTTCCAGTACTACATTTCTTACACTTCTTTCATGTTCAATATCAGCTTCTGCTGAGAACCTTGTTTATATTGTAGAATTTACAAGCAAGCTTTGCTGCTTAAATGGCCCAAATAATCAAGAAAGTGATTATATAAAAGACGTTAAAGAAGATGGGGATGAAAAGCAGAATATAATCTTCTCTGTTTGTAAACTTCTATGTGTTCATTTTAATGGTAAATGTGTATTGGAGTTGAGTGTGATTCAACCTGTGATAAATGTCAGTATTTTCTTCATATATGACCAATTTCCCTTGAAAGTCATTAAGCAGTGTAATTTTCTCTAAGAAATACTTTTGTCTTGTAAAATCTTTTTTTCATATGAATGCAATCCAGACTTGTGAGTTAGAGAGAGAAAAGAAAATGGGCATCCAGATTACAGATGTTCAGTGTTCATAGTGTCTGAATAGAGGAATAAGGTCTCCGTGTTACCACATAAAAAATAGCTTAAGATTTTCAAATATATATTGTGCTGAAACCCAACACAAAGGCATCCATCAAAAAAGATCAGTTCTCTTTTTCCTATTTGCAATGTTATTGAATGCTTGTCATTTTATCCTGGGGAGAAGACAGCAGCCAGTTTGTTCCCAAGTTCTGAGGGTTTGTGTTTGATGCTTATGCTAATAATTGGGTTTGGGTTTTCATAGTCTGGTTGAAAAGAATTTGTTAGATATCTGGAGAGTGTATTTATACAAGGAAAATATTCCGTTTCCAGTTCTTGCAGTTTTGTGATGCTTGTCAGGAGCCAGGCAAAGAAGCCATATAACCAAAGATAATGGACTGTAGGAACATAGAAGTTACCAAGATGAGCTGTTTGGGATAGATCACAGAACAATCATAACTCTGAAGCTGTTATAATTCAGATTTCCAAAAGTGGCTGAGAGGATTTCTAGCATAGCACCTGATTGTGGGGAACACTCTGCAATCAGACTTCTGATTCCTGTTTTTGTAAGCTTTTGTAAGAAAAATGTTGGCAAATTTTGCAGTTTGTACCTCAGCTTAGTGGTTCAGGTGGAAATGCTGAATATAACGTTAGGATTAAGAGGAGAGGCTGTAATGGTAAGAATTATGCATGTGCATGTTGCAGTGGTGGGGAGTCTGGAAGAAATTGTTTTTCATTTTGCTGTTAAATCCTGGTTGAGAATTTAATACCTTCCAGGACTTGGGAGCTTTAGGAAAAGTTGTGCGTATAATGTGAAACTAATGGTCTCTGATGGCACAATAGCGTTTTGTTATTTTAACAGCAATTTTAAAAACATCGTAGGAAAGTCTTTTGTCCACCATTAAAACTATAAAGATCTGGTGGTAAGAAGATCATGGTGTGATTGTGATAGTGGTTGCTTGGTCTTGAGCTTTCTTTTTAAGCAAAGCTTGAACTTGTGACATTATTGTATTTATAAATTAAGAAATACGCTGTACAAGTGCAAACAGAACAACAGCCTTGCTTAAGAACTGGACAGGTATTTAAAGAATACTTAGGTTGATTTTCTGTTGAGGAGAAGGTGCTTATATAGAGAAACCTGCGGATTTCTGAGATAGGAGACGTTTGCGTATGCAGTTACTCTGAAATGTTGACAAACTTTCAAGGCAGCATTTGTATTTGTCTGTAAGCTGGAAACTAATTAGAAGTAAGAAAAATAAACATGGAAAAAGTTAACCCATTGAACTGCAAGTGCTGCTGTCACAGTGAATGTACTGCCTTATACACTGTACAGTAGAAAAATGCATTGCAGTGTTTCCTACAAGCTCTACTGCTGTGTGCTCATGGAGAGGGAATGCTGCAATAATAATGGGCTTTATGCAGGGACTCAAAATGTGTCCACAAACTTGGAACTATTCACGTTGCTTTGCTTAGCTATGCTGGCTGAGTTACAGTTTTTTAATCCTAAATTCTAAAATGTTTAATAATGTGTGGTTTTATTTGCATAAGTGTACCTGACTAGGAAATGTTATCCCCTCTTTTGCATTCTGAAGTCATTAGATCTGTAATGCAGAATAGGCTAAACCATTTTATAATAACATGCTAAAGAACAAAAGGGATGAGACACATGTTAAGAAACCCGAACCAAACTAACAAAGAAAACCTAACAATCAAATACCAAAGTCAGAAATATTTCTGGCTACATCCTTGTGCAGGATATGTAAGTCTTGAGGAGGGAGCCTGTCATCTTCCATTGACATCATGCCCTAAAGTGATGTATGTTCAAAATTCTTTATATTATAGGAGTTTTATGCATACATTGTTCTTTCATAGAATAAACTGTTACATTACCTGAGAATGTTTCTCAGGTTTGAGACACACAACATGTTTGTGTTTGTTTTGAATATTTCAAAGACCTTTTGGGTTCTCATGCAAAAAAATAGAATCATAGAATCATAGAATAGTTAGGGTTGGAAAGGACCTTAAGATCATCAAGTTCCAACCCCCCTGCCATGGGCAGGGACACCTCACACTACACCATGCCACCCAAGGCTCTGTCCAACCTGGATAATAACACTTTTATAATAATTGTATATATTATTATTATTTATAATAATATTTTTGTTTTATTTTCCTATATACTTTCAACAATGGCCATTTCTTAAGAAATTTCCTGTCAAAATCTGATGTCATATACTTATATAAGTAATCAAACTAAGAGGAAAACAAAGTGTGATGGGTTGACTATGCCTGGACACCAAAGCTGCTGTGTCACTACCCATCCTCAGCTGGATAGGAGAGCAAAAGCATAGCAGAAAGCTTGTGGGTCAAGATAAGAATAGGGAGAGATCCTTCACCAATTCCCACATGGGCAAAAGTGGCTTGGCTTGTGGAAAATTAGTTTACTACTAGTCAGGTCAGGGCCGGATAATGAGAAATGAAAACTAAACCTTAAAATGCCTTCCCCCATCCTCTCATGGGCTTAACTTCACTCCCGAATTCTACATTGTCTGGGCACATGGTGCAGGGGGATGAGGAATGGGGTTGTGGTCAGTTTATCACATCTCTGTCACTCTTTCCTCCTCAGGGAGAGGACTCCCCACGTTCTTCCCCTGCTCCAGCGTGTGGTCCCTCCACAGGTGACAGTCCTCCATGGACTCCCCCAACATGAGTCCTTCCCACACATTGCAGTTCTTCATGAACTACTCCAGCGTGGGTCCCTTCCTGTTCCTTCAGGAACAGGCTTCTCCAGTGTGGGTCCCCTGCAGGGTCACCAGTTGTATAGCAAGCCTGCTGCAGCGTGGGCTCCTCTCCATGGGGCAACTTTTCCACCTTCTTAAGGACATTATCCCAGAGATTGTGGCACTGTCACTGATGGCTTCAGCCTTGGCCAGCTGTGGGTCCATCCTAGAGCCATTTGGCATTGGCTCTGTCAGTCACAAGGGAAGCTTCTAGCAGCTTCTTGCAGAAGCTGCCCTGTAAGCACCCAGCTACCGATCCTTGACACGCAGACCCAGTACACAAAGGAAGGAGATGAGCTCTTATGAAAGAAATTTCCTTCTGCCAGTGCTGGTTTTAGCCCAGTTGATCTGAGAGCTTTTTAATTTTGCTTTCTAGATTCTATTTCTGTCTTTACTGATGAAGTAGTTTTATTTTACAATGTTGTGGACAGCACTGTTTGAGTCTATGGATGTGCAGTCTCTTGAGTTCTTGTTTAGCAAACTTTAATTTCTTTGAGAGCATGGTCTAAAATCGAATTAATTGGCTCAAGTCTTGTTGAAACTGCTGAGTTCTTCCATGAGGATTTGCAGGGAAGCTGCAATGACTTTAGAAGCAGTAGTGCTTTCTTTTCCCTCCATTTACCAATATAGTATCTAGATACAGTTGCTAATGATTTTGTGTGTGTCAAAGATTCTATTTCAGGGTTTCTTTTAATGTTTAACCTTGCTTTTTGAAAAGTACATGATTATCCTTGGCTCATTTTCAAACCCACTGTATTACTCTTGCATAATAATTAATCATTTCCATTCTGACATTTGGTCTGTATTTGCAGGTTGCTGTTTGATAGTCTTTAGTGTATATATACCCTTTTATAAGCATCATATAATGTGACAGTGATAATGGGTTCTGAACAGGAATAAGTGGTGGCAATCCATTTTGAAAGATTTATAGCACAATAGGAGATGATCTCTACTAATCATGGAGGACCGCACTCCAAATAATTTTGTTCACCAGGGGTGACTATTTATTTTCAGTCTTGCAGTGGCTGGAGATATTTATCATTGCTCAAATGTTTCCATCATAGCATTGGTCTCCTGCTGTTGACCCGACAGGCCAGATTGAAGACCCCCTGTATTTTTTGCATTTAAAGTAAATTCAGTATGAAAGGCTTGAGAGAGGATTTTGTAGTTTTCTATGAAAAATTGTATGTAAGTAGAACATATCCTTATAAAAAGTAATCTTCAAAATTAAAGAGACTTGAGCCTTCGAGACCTATGAAAACAGTTTAAAAATACAAAAGTGCAAAATTTGTATACATACTTGATGTACTTGAAATCACTCTGACGTTTTTACACTAAAACCATCAAAATCTCAGCCTCCGTTGCAGAGCATTATCTACTATCTCGGCAGCTTTTTATATAGTGTAAATCAGTGCATTTTTACCCATCAGTAGATCATTCTGCCCTCAGAGCTTAGAGGTTTCTGAGACCATCTCTTGTCAGTGCTCATGGGAATTTAGTTACAAATAAAAAGAGTAGTTCTTAATACAGATGTGTCTTTTCCAGGTTGCAAATATATTATCATTTCTGCAAGAAGGAACTTCACCAGGGTACTCTGTGCAGATAGCAAGGCTATTAAACTGATGTATATTCCTATCAGTTTAATGAAATGTGTTTGTCCCAAATTCCATGTCATTTGTTCAATCCATTTTTGCAAGGAGACACTTGTATTGCCTGTGTTTCAGAGAAGAACCACCCTGTATAAAGATTTGTGTATATAGACACATTACACAACGTTGAGTTTTACAAGCAGTATTATTTTTTTCATGGCAAAAACTTACCACCCACTGATCTGGGTAGTAAGTAATATATTGAGAATAGGTAATGCAACATTTACTTAGCCACTTGAAGTTTTAAAAAGGGAGTCTCTCTTTTTGTAATTAGTAATATAGTAATCTCAAATTTACACTCCATTGCAAGTTGCAGCAGTGTTTTCTTTCCCTGCTCTGCAGTTGTCCACACACCACTAAGTCTACAAAAATATCAGTTTTCAAGGAGTTGCTTGGCATTTTCTGGAAAAACCTCCATTTAGCTCAAATACATTTTATGAATAGCTAACCATAATTTCATGAGCACTTTTTTACACTCAGCTTCACTTAATTTAATACTTAACGTCCAATTTAATACTCAAGGTTTTTTAATTCTTTTATTATTTCTACCAATAAAGTAAGCAATGTTACCTTTTCATAACATTGTGTCTAGTATTGTCATCCTGTTGCTGAGATGTTGATACTGATTTTCAGGGTCTGCAGGGTTAACTTATCATTCAGAAAAGTTGAGTGATGCATTAGCTAACTTGTATGGTGTTCAGTGTACCTGAGACTTGGAACACTTAGCAAACACAGTCCCATTTTATCAGATTTTAAGTCCTTGTCACTATTCAGTTGTGAAGAAGGTTTTCTGTCTGAAATGTTGAGATTAGTGGAACAGATCTTTTAAAAAGAAAGAATTAAAGTCAAAACCTACCCTCCTTCTTGCTCAGCAGAACTTTGCTCTTTAGTTTCATAATTTCACAACACATTCCAGCATTGTAAGCTTTAAAATTACTTATCTGACAGCTTAAAAGACGATATACAACACTGTTTCTTGCTGTGATCTCTGAAGTCAGCATCCCCTACGCTTTTCCTTCACTATCTCACCTAGGAAGGTTGGAGATTCTGTTTCCCCACTTGTTCAGACACTCTCTTTCAGGGGTTTTTATCCATTTTTCAGTTTCCTTTCTCACACGATACATTGGTTCTGTATCATTTCTGAGCCATTTCTATGGCCCTCCATCCAGTCTTTTCACCTAGTCTTAGTTTCTCTCTTAGAAATCACATCCTTTTTAGAATGTTATATTCACATTGTAAAATTTAATATTTCTAGGTTCATTCATTCATATATTAGTTGAAGCCAGATCCACAGGATATCTTGTGATTGGAAGGCAGGAATAGAAAACATTCTGCTGGACAGTAATCAAACACTTCGCTTTCTTCCCCGTCGGTTCAAATAAGGAGCAAAAAGCAACATACTGCATTTGTCTACTGAGCAAAAGGTACAATAGTCCCAGCCTGTGAAGTGAAGCCTCACAATGGTTTGCTCTTAAAAGAGAACCCCGATACCTGTGCTGCAGAATATAGTTTCTCCCATCAGATAGGAATTCATGACTCCTGCCAAGAATACAGGTTACTCTGTTTAAAAAAGAGAAGCCTGATAAAGAATGAAAACATCCAGAAGTCACAACCATGTTACAACTCTAAAGCAAGAAAGACCTCATATAATTTGTATACAGTAGAGAGAAATAAGTACTGAAGTTTTATTCCTTTGAATAATTAGCTTGTTGAATTAGTTAACTGGATGATAAGTTGTAAAATAAGTTTTCTATATAATAAAATACCTTTAACACTCTCAGCTTTTTATAAAACAGAGCTTGTGAATCCTCAGGAAAACTTCATGGTATGTCTGGGGACGGAGCCTGGTGAATGCTTATGGTTTTGCCTGTCCTCACTCCACTTCCAGGAATGAATTGACACCCTTTGTCCACACAGCTGCCATTTGGGTCAGACCTACTTTCCTTGACACTGTTTTACTCTACTCATTCCTAATCCCTGCACACACACACACACACTTGTCTCTATGTCTTGTAAAGTTGTGGTTCATTTGTAAACATTTAAATGGCAGCATGCTGTAATAGCTGACTGATCCAAAGGGAATCAGATCAATAAGGAAAGAATCCTTGAAACAGAAGGAGAACAGAAAAGGCCAGAATGAAAAATTATGTTAGAAATTACTCCCTAAACTAGAATTTGTAAGTCTGGAAAGAGATGCCTAAGAGAGATGTAGAGACAATGGTAACTGTAAGGTTGGTATAAAGTAGTGATTGGTGAATTATTCTCTACATCCTCTAATCCAATAAAGGAATCAACTATTGGCCCCAGAAGAAGCAGGATAATGTGCTAGGTTGATCTTGGTCTCACTTAGTGTGACTCTTATAATGATTTGCTCATTACTTGCTTGTTCTCACTCTGCTCATTTGTCTCTCTTTTTAAAAGCGACAAATGACAACAAAAAATATAATAACAAACAAATTGTGGTGTGGTATAGGTACAACCAGGGTGTTGGGTTGAGGTTTCTAATGAGGAACCTTTTAAAAACCCACTTTGATGTTTTCAGAATTGAGAAGAGATTATGCCTCAAGATATTCTACTGTAAAGGCTTTCTAAATGGTTATCGCTTATTTCTAATGAATCTTAAGGGGGTTTATTCAGATTAGGACTCGATCTGCTAGAGGCAAGTCCAGCACTTGTAGTTTCTTTGTGAAAAAGAGTGCTTTACTATCTGTCTATGACATGTTTAGGGCAACAGCCTGTTACTTTAGCCATGCTTTTGTCCACTTCAAGCACTGGAATTTCTTCTTGTGGCAGTGACTGCATCACACACCCACCTCAGCATGCCAGGTAAGTGCTTGTAATGCAGTAGAATATCTGTGGAAGGAAGATGCTTGTTTGTCTTGATAATTCCATCACATATACCTTTTATATAATCATAGAATAGAATCATAGAATACTTAGGGTTGGAAAGGACCTTAAGATCATCCAGTTCCACCCCCCCTGCCATCGGCAGGAACACCTCACACTAAACCATGTCACCCAAGGCTTCATCCAACCTGGCCTTGAGCACTGCCAGGGATGGAGCATTCGCAACCTCCCTGGGCAGCCCATTCCAGTGCCTCACCTCCCTAACGGGAAAGAATTTCCTCCTTATATCCAATCTAAACTTCTCCTGTTTAAGTTTTAACCCGTTAACCCTTGTCCTGTCACTACAGTCCCTAATGAAGAGTCCAGATTCAGAACTGTGAATTACTGAGGGATCTGAATGTTACCTCAGCTCTGCTCTTGGCAGAGGGCAGAGAGGATATTCAAAATGTATGTGCAGACCTGGTGGTCAGAATCTAGATGTTAGGTTCATGGGATGTGGGTAGAGAGAGAAAACTGTCCATGTGTGTAAAGATGTGTAAATCAGTAGTAAAAAATGTAATGAATAATAATTCTATTTGCTCTCTGTCACATCACAACATTATAAACAAGGTGCTGTGTGTCGATCATAGCACTGTGCTAGTGTTAGCCATGGATAACCAAGGAAATAGCAAATGTACTTTGTGGCATCCAAGCATAGAAAACAGTGCCATGCAGCAAGAAGCATGTTGCATAGGGTTGCCTAGCAATAATTCATTATGGTTAGTAATAGAATGAGAAGTTTGCCGTGAAGAGCATTTAAGAAAGTGAGGTGGGTAGGTGCAACGATGTAGTATAACATGGGGAAATTAGGAAGAAAAATAATCTTCATCAAAAGTGACAGGACTAAGCAGAGAAAGCCTGTTGCACTGGGATGCTGTAAAGATAATATAATCACGAGTTTAGCATAGGGATTTGCCTTAGGGCAATTGCTGTTCAGTCTAGCTGCATAGGAATAGCTAGCTTTACCCCTGGAATTTAACCTGCTTTACAGTGAAAAGTAAAAATGGCTCATTATTCATATTAGCTCAAAAGTAAAGCATTTTGAGTGAAACAATTTGCATCTGTATTATCTAGCTTAAGTGCCCAGTTTACACACACAAGAGAAAATAGCGATGTATGAACAATTGCTAATTAAGCATATCTTGTGTATCACCTGAAGTTGGAATAAAGGCTGCATGCACATACGCTCTTACAGAAAATAAAGTGTATATATATGCTCGCAGAGGCCCTATTCCATCATCCTGTCACAATTTCATGTTCAACTACATTTATGCCCTGCTTTATGCAATGTGGAGCACTTGCTAGTTTAGACTGTTTTTATTAAATACCTGCTGTGCTTCCTTGCTGAAGTGATGCTGGTAGAAGTGAAGTGCTTTGGTATCCTTTGGAATACAGCATGTTTTACAAACATCAAATGATAATTAAAGACCATTGGTAATGCAATGTTGACCAGTAGCCACATGGGAGTCTTTTATGTTTGCCTCATTTAGGTTTTTGATTTGTGTGTTTATGTTGTGTATTAGAAAGAGTTTGAGAGCAGGCCTCTGTTGGGGGACTGGTCCAGAACCATACTGGCAGTGGTCATTCTAAAAGTGACAAAAACATACGCAAAGTTACAGGCTTCATGCGCGCTTAGCTATATCCCCCTGCAGTTTGGTCTCTGTGGTGGGTTTTGTTTGATTTCTTTTACTTCTTGCACAAAGCTCGTGACAGGATTTTCATTAATACTGAGAACACTTTAAGGGGGAAACCACAGACAAATGAGTGGACTGAAGATCCTAAAGTGCTTCAAGAGGTGTTAAAAGAGTTTTGAGTGGTCTTTGCTACATCCAGTAGTTCAATTCTTTCAAGATTTATGTTTCTCTTACCTCTTTTCTTTCAGTGTAGGAGCAAATACAAGTATTTCATGATTTTTAAGAGTATTTTAAGTCCCTTACTGGTCTATAGTATAAACTATAATATATATGTAAGATACAATATAATAGTATCTTAAAACTTTCCTCAAATATCTTTATATGTGAATATATTATATGTTTGTATACATTGCATGTATTGAAATTCATGTATTTGTATAAGTGACTGTGTATGGAGTGCTACTATCTAACGGAGAATTTCAGGGTGGATGTAGACTCTGGGACTTGAAATCTGTATGAACTCTTTAAGAGCATCTAAAAGGCATAACTTGTAATCATTCTATGTTATCAACACAGTTACGTAGTGCTGTCATTTTGAATTGTGCTTTCAGAGAACACCCTTGTTTGCTGAAGGCAAAGTGGTATTTCATGGATTTTTCAGACTGTCCACAGGAAAAAAACTAGATCATTTGGCTATGCAGATTAGCTTCAGTTTACACAATATCATGTAAATGGAGGTCCGCAAACAGTCATAGCCAGCCATTTGCATGTTGCCCTTCACCTGCAACTAAATGTCTTGATCAGGACATGTTAGATTGGTACCTATCTGTTTCAGTTTGCTGGAAGGAAGTGGTGATAGTCTTTGCTGTTTAAGATGGATGGTTCACTTGTTCACAGGAGGAGAAAAGATTTCCAATCATTCTGCACCACTGGAGTCTGGCATGAGCTGCTGAGAGAAAGGAGGATAAATATCATCAGAAAAGAAGGCAGATGTGAGGGTGCTTTCTAGTGTAGAAACTTATTCTTAAAACAGGTGGCTAAAATGCACGAAGTGGCAACCTGAAAGTGGTACAACTTAGAGGGTTTATCTTGTTTTAAATAACCATTATGAATATTTTAGCACAATCAACAAGGCTTTTATTTCCAGACCAATTACATACTGAAGTCATTCAGTCATAGCAGTCACAACGTATGCAATTGATTATTTTCTTCAATCTAGCCATGATTTTTTGACTTGTGGAAAGCTGCATGTGTTTTCTGTGGCTGAAGTTGTTACTGCAGAAGAGGAAGGGAGCAACAATTTTTACTCTTTTATTAGAGTGCTTAGTACTCTGCTCCTGATATTACATTATCATGAATATTATCGTATGAATCACAAGCTCAGTACAAGGATTAAATCTTGATCAAAATGGACTGCATTGACATGTATGCAGGAGAAGCATTTTAATTACTTTCTAATGCAACTAGAAGCTTCAGGCTTGCAATTTCCTTTTCCATTATGGGACACTGCTTTTTCAATCATCTTCCTCCTCCTTCCCCTCAGCTACTTGAAGTTGCATTTTTGCACCCTGACTTAAAATGAAATATTTTACACAATATACTGTGTCTCAGCCGAAAGTGGAAAGGCTTAGATCTGAGATTACTGGCTTCCCAAATAGAACCGATACATGTGTCTGTCTGGGAGAGAGGCAGTCAAACTAACTAAATCTGATTCTGTTGTTTCTTTCCAGTTGTCATTGTTCTACTGAATGTAGTGTTTGTTGCTTCTTGTGTGTCTAAGCCTTCTAGCACATGCTGTTGCTAAGAAACAGTGCTGTTATAAGTGGTCCAGATAAAAGAACAAATTCCTATTACACTGACTATCAAAAAAGGTGTTATCTGCATGATACCAGGATTTTTGTTTCATGAAATACACCAATCAGATAGCTAACTTTCAATGTATATGTCCTTGATATAAGAGTAGATGACATCTCTAACTTTAAGTGTTTGGAAGAAGATCCACAACTCAGTGTATTTAAATGATCCTTCCAGTCGAAAAGCCCATGATACCCTTTAAAGAGTTTATAGCTGTCTGCAGTGGAAATGGAGCCTTATGTGCAAGTTACAGAATAGCTGAACTCTGAATAACTGAACCTCTTGGTTCCTTAGCAGAAGCAAAGTAAAAGAAAACAGGAATAGTCCAGTATGACCTGAACCTTGCAGAGGGTGAAGAAGCTGACATTTAAAAAAGTAAAAATGTTTTGGTTCAGGTTTAATGTTTTGATTTTTTTTTCCCCCCAAAATTAAAACAAAAACTTTGTGTCATAACAAAATATCACAGAAAGAAATCAAGAAAATACAGGAAATGCATCTTCCCAGGTAAAACTCCTTGACAGATTCATTGGTTAGCAAAGAAAAACAGTTGTTTGGCATGAAATTAACTTTTAATTAAGTTATATGGGGAAGCACCTTCTGACTAAGGGAGAGGATGTAGTCCTTGGAGACCTTTGGAATGCTCACACTCAAATGCTCAGATTGTGGCTTAGCATGTGTATGGCAGCCGTGCATTTAGAGCCAAAAATTATGTCAATGAGCTCCCCAGAGAACTTGATGACAGAATTCCATAGTATTTTCCAAAAGCATATATAATAAATTACAGTATTAATATATTATGAGCGTTGGAGTTAGATGATCCTAAGGTCCTTTCTGCGCATAAGTATTCTATGATTAATAGATTTTTGTAGCATTGCTATATTTTTGAAAGCTTTTTTGCTTTAATTTCTGTTTGACTTGGAGTGAGCCTGAATGCCTGTCCTGAACTGAAATAGAGTGTGTACAGATGAAGCTAATTAAGTAGGAGCTGTCGCTCTTCATTTTGAAGCCCTGATTTTTTTTTTTTTAGCTTGCTGTCTCAACTTTGATTATTAAAATACGTGTGGTAGTTCTCACCCCACGTTACCTGTGAGTGTTACTAATTAGGTGTCAGGATGTCAGTGAGTAATGTGAAATCATGAATAAATTACAAATAAAAGCCATACATATGTACAGAGCCATTTAACTAATTAAAATGCTGTGCAGCAGGAACTATACTAGTGATAACCACTTCTGACCTTTGGGTTGGAGCTTCCTTTGCCTGGAATTTCACTGATTGATTAAGTAGATGATAATAGTCAAGTCAGAGTCACAGCTGTAAAACTCGTTTGTCACAACAGCAGAAAAGACAATCTCTATCTGTCTCTATCTGAGAGTTAAACAGATTTGATTTACTTGTTAGGCCTCTACCTATTTGTCATTCAGCATTTACATAACAGAGGAAAATATGGTTAAGACTGTAGTCCAAAATAGTCATTAAGACTTAATCATGACAAAACAAACAGGTACAAAATAGGGAGAGGTGTGGGAAAATTGTGCATCCTTGCTTAAATATGCCTACCTACTGTTTTAAAATTGCTTTTTTTCATAGGAAGGAAGCTACAGGCATAAAATTAAATGGGATGAGATATGTACAGAACACAACCGTAATCATTCCTGGTATATCTGAAGTAGGAGTAGTAACTTAGGAAAGAACAGTGCTCAGGCAGATGTATCGCTGGGCTTCCTTAATGTCCTGCAGGGTTTTTGACTTGCATCCAAGTGCAGTGGCAGTGGCTGAAGCTTAGACAAATTGATGATTAATACCTGTGGGTCATAGAATCCAGAGATTCGTATTCCTATGCTGCTGTTGCTGGGTAGTACCAGTATCATCTTGTCTATTTAGCTGTTCTGTAACTTTAGGGAGCATAGATCTCATGTCATATTTTTTTGAGGGCTTTTCCCTGAACTGGTGACTGTTGTTTCCACTTTGCTTCATCTATTCTTTATCAGAACCATTATGATTTTTTCATCTTGTGAGTTGTGTTTTGGGTATTTGAAGAGAAGGGGAGGTTTTGCTCAGACGCCTACCTTAGAGCATTTTGATGTTTCCGTTTCTCTTTGAATGACAGATTAGAAACCAAAGAGGAAGCTAACAACAAAAGCACCCCTATCCCCAAACTCAGGAAGATAAAATATAATGCTTCCAAACGCTATGCGCTCTCTCCATACCCCAGCTGCTCTGTAAAATTGGTTTTTGTGTGTTTCAGTTTCTCTGTTTCTACCCGCATATCAATTTCCCTGAGCAGATGCAGGGCTCAGAGGATCTGTGCCTTATGGCTGCTCTGCCATCCAGACTGCCTATGTGCTACAGTACCTGGGAACCCAGCCCAGAACTTCCAGGCTTCCAGCTCTGCAGCAGCAAAACCCCAAGAGTCCTGGATTCAACCCACAGTTTCCAGGTTTGCAGGTTTTCTAATGCCAACAGAGAAATGGATGTGGCGCTATGGCTTCCCAGGCTCTTGGCCTCCTGGTTTGAGAGTGGGGAACTTGGGGGAACCACAACTAGTTCAAGGAAAGGAAGCGCAAGAGCGCCTCAGATGGGTAATGCAGTGGGATACCTATCAGCCCTCCCAAGACTGGTACCATTAAATATCATCAGTGAAAGCCTTGGTATCAGGAGAGAGTACTGAACATCTTTCTTGAAGTCAGTTCCACTCTAGAAGCTTAAGAGCTTCTTCAAACTTGTCCTTCAGTGGTTTACATTTAGTTTCATGGCAGGGATGTTATGTAATAGACTGGTTGCTTAAGTCCAGGTCCCTCTATCATCTTGGCCAGTCCTGTATCTAGTACGTGCTACAGCTCCCTTGCAATGCAAAAATGGGGAATTGAGGAGGTAAGGGAGGCCTGAAACAACTCAGTTAGTAGTCTGTACCTAATCCTACCGGTATAACTTTATAGAGATGCTTTTTGTCAGATTCATGTGGGATCGATATTCATGTGGGATATAATCTTTGGAGAAGCATAATTCTCCTTCTTAAAACACAGAGCTCTCAGCAACACAAAAACCTTTCCAGTTCCCAGATTCAGGATTTTCCAAATGTCTGGTCATTCAGTAGAGCTATACAGAGAAATGAAATAAGTAACAGAAAGAAATTGAAATAAATTTTAATTACAGATCTGTCTGAAACTTTAAAGTCCAAGATGAATGGATTTAATTAGCTCGGGACACTTTGGTTTTTCTATAACTCAAATGTGTCAGCTTTACAACATGCAGGCCCTTAGGCCATCATTTGAAGTGAGTCATCTTTATTTTACAGTGTTTAAACTGGGCATACATTCTGGGGTTTGTGATACTCTGTAAAATCTGACAGATTGTGGCTAGAGGCTTTATTTTCATACCTGTAAATAAGCAAAGAATTGTTTTACAATATTCCAATAAGTCTATTTTACGATCAGTCATGAAAAAGCTCAGAGAACCATTTTTAGAACAGGCCGTGGCTCTGCATTATTATGCTTTCAGTTAAGGTAATGGGAATTCAATAGAGTCCTGTCTGAAAGGATATATCCTACCAATGGTGTAAGCACAATAAGGATCAATTTGATAGGATTTAATTACTTCAGTGCTCATCTGGTGAAATTATTTCCTTTTAATTTTATTGTGAATTGTGCATTACAGGCCTAGTGCATAAGCACAGACCTAAACCTCTTTCTGACTTTTAAGTAGAGCTACACCACAGAAGGTGCATCCAGCAGTGTAGAGAGTAGAAACAGACACTCAATGTTACTGGGAATTTTGAGTTCAGGTCATGACTGCTTTGGATCATTTACTTTTTCTTCCTCTCGGATTATGTCACAGGCTCTTTCCTTTAAGAGGACAGGGCTTGCACCAGATTTTAGTACTGATGTGAATCTGAAAAATGCATGAAATAAATGAAGACGTCAGCCAGGAGCCCAATACATTGCACACTACCAAATGATTCTAAGAAGCCCTGATCTTCCTATTCAGGAATGGTTTTAAGTATCATACTTGTGAGAATACTTGATTTGCTTTATAAAAGGCTGTTCAGAAGAAGACAAGATATATTGCTAGTTTTATATATCTGCATAGATAAATTAAAGCAATAGATTCCAGGGTGGTGGAAAATCATCCTTGCTCTTTGGCTTCTGTCTACATATGTTCTTTGAGATCTTGTTTATACTGGGGATTTGCTTCCCTTTCAGTCAAGGACAAACTGCTGTCAGAATAGCTAATCTGTTGTAAATGCCAGCCTGTGTAGGGTGTCTGTCCTCTAACATACTGTGGTTTCAGGGGAAAGACATTTATGCCACTACAAGTAGCAAACTTCATCACCTACACTAAGACTGGGGTCAGCGTGAGGTTCTGAGCTGGGGAAAAATACTGCTGCTTACAGCTGTTTGTCACTGCTCTGTCTCTGCTCTGGAAATGAGCCCCCTCTGTTCTCCTGTTGAGCTCTTTGGAGTCACAGCACCTGTGGCTGTTCCTGGCTGGGATGTGCACAGTTGTGTGGGGAAATTTGGAGGAGTGGCAACTCTCCCATGGGAGAGGAGTGAGGGCAATGAGACACTTGGGGTGGCTTCTAGGCTCAGCTGCAAGTAGGACTGCTTATTTAACCCAGTCTAAAACTGTGTCATACAAATAACCCACAAGCTGATGGCTGCTAGCTATGGAGCCCAGCAATATTCTTGCTAATAAAGGCTTTTGGAGGCAGCAAACCCATTGCTACTGCCTGCATCAGTATTTTAAAGGAGTCAGAATGAACAACTGAGCAAATAATCTTAGGGTCATCTGAAACACTTCTCGGATGATACCATTTCTGTCTGTTTGCAGAAGAGAATGCCCAACTTCTGAAATGGAGACTTTCATCATCTCTATTAACATATCATCTCTAGTAACATATTCCAAATGATGAGCTTTTGTAAAAGCTTCCTATAGAAGAATTCTGTTTGCTGTGTTCATTCGTTTTGGTGTTCATCTGATTCTTATTGCCAAAAAATCATGAATAACAGCTTGAAATGCTGGAACCAAAGAACAGATAACTTTGAGGAAGTATAAAATGTTTTAATTCTTTTCTTGAGATATTTAAAACAAGCTTCCCTGGGGGGGTGTTTTTCCTTGTTAACTCATTTATAAGATAACTGAAGCTACAGGTGTTCAGCTTTAATAAGGCATTAGTGAACAATTATAGAAGACACTGAAAGCTGGAGTCTTTGCTTGAAGGAAATGAACACCAAGTGAAAGAACATGAAACAGCAAAACTGCACAGTCATATAAGGGAGAAGAGGTTTTACAAAAAGTCCACTTGTATAAAATCTTTAATACATGTAGGAAGGATGTTGTTGAAAAGAGGAACTTCTGCATGTTTTTATGTGCAAGATATGAGAAGACAGCTATAATATATAAAGGAATAACTGGTGCTAACACTACTGATAAGATCATTTTCTGCTTGTATTAAGAAGTTCTTTAAAATATTACTTTAAAATACTGTAGAGCCAGCTTTCTGCTAAC